TGGCGCGATCTCAGCTCACCACAACCTCCGCCTCCTGGGTTCAGGCAATTCCCCTGCCTCAGCCTCCTGAGTAGCTGGGATTACAGGCACGCACCACCATGCCCAGCTGATTTTTTGTAGTTTTAGTAGAGACAGGGTTTCACCATGTTGACCAGGATGGTCTCTATCTCTTCACCTCGTGATCCACCTGCCTCGGCCTCCCAAAGTGCTGGGATTACAGGCGTGAGCCACCACGCCCGGCAAGATGGATCATTTTTGTCTAAGACATAACTAAGTCAAAATCTGGTAAGAAATGTCAATCTTCATCATTTAAAAATGTCCTTATCACAAACTTACTCATTTGTAAATAAAGTAAAGCTAACAGTCTGCTAAATGAAATGTAAATTGGTACGGTCCTTTAAAACAATTTTACAACATGTATTCCAGAAACAAAAATACTCATTCCTTTTCTGACTCAGTAATTTGGGCTTCTAGTCAAAAGAAAATAAAATCTACATAAAATACTATACGTATAAACATGTTCATACACATGTCCAGCATAGTTTCAGTTTATATTGAAAAGTTGGAAACAACATAAATGTCTAATAATAGAATATAAATTGAACATTTTATGGCCACTAAAAGGCACCTCAAGCTTTCCATTTGGGATGATTTTTCTTCTATATGAATTACGTCCCTTAGAATCTCCTTCTGTTGGTGGTAAATGCTCTTCAATTTCTGTCTGAAAAATGTCTGTATTTTGCTGTCATTCCTGACAGTTTTATTGGGTATGCCATTTCAAAGCTGACAGCTATTTTTTCTCAGAATATAGAAGACAGCATTCCAATGTCCTCTGGCTTCTGTTGTTGCTGCTGGGAAATCAGTTGCCAGACTAAAGAAAAATGTTTTTATAGCAATCTGTTGTTTCTCTCCAGTTGCTTGTAAGGCCCTCTGTCTTTTTAGCCTTCTGCATTTCACTGATTTGTCAGGGGTGATTTATCTTCCTTGGGGTTCACTGGACTTCTGCCACTTGAAGATTATCTTTTATCAATTCTGAAAATCTCCCAGTAATTTCTATTTGACCACTGCCTCACCCCTCCATTCACACTTATCTCCTCTGTAACTCCAATTAGAGGTATGGCACAACCCTTCACCCCGACTTTTTGTCTCAACCTTTCTTTCACATGCATACTGTTTCTTTAGCTCTCTCTGGTGCACTGTGGGTAATATCTTCAATGCTAGCTTCCAGTTCACACATT